TATATATGAGGCGATTGAAAATCCCATAGCTTGGGCTGGGCCATCTTAGTCTTCAAGGAGATATCTTTGTTCTTCAGCACTTGAAAGAGGACTTTTGAGACAGATTTGCCCAATGCAATACATCTTTTGATGTCTTAACTGCTGCTTCCATTGGCGTTGATTGTAGAACCAAGTAATATGAAGTGTTTGACAACTTCAATCTTTTCTCCATTTATCATGATCTTGCTTATTGGACTAGTTATGAGGATTTTTGTTTTCCCTACATGAAGTGTAATCCAGTCTGCAGTAACAGACTATATTCAATCTTCATCAGTAAGTGCTTCAAGTCATCCTCATTTTCAGCAAGCAAAGTTGTGTCATCTGAGTATCTCAGATTGTTAATGATCCTTCCTCCAATCCTGATGCCACTTTCTTCTTCATCTAGTCCAGTTTCCTGGATTATTTGCTCAGCATGCAGATTGAATAAGTATGGTGAAAGGATACAACTTTAACACATGCCCTTCCTGATTTTGAACCATGCAATATCCCATTTTTCTGTTCGAATGACAGCCTCCTGGTCTTTATACAGGTTCCTCGTGAGTACAATTAAGTGTTCTGAAATTCCCAGAATTCCAGAATTACCCTTCTCAGTATTATCCACAATTTGTGATGATCCACACAATCAAATGCCTTTTCATAGTCAATAAGACACAAGTAAACATCTTTCTGGTATTCTTTACTTTTGTTGTACCCAGGCTATGAAGGAGTAGTTCGGCACGAGGAATATGCCAACAAACGACAATGCAAAAGCAATAGGAAAGTTTATTAGCTAACTTAAGTTAGGGTCCTTGCCCTTACCAAATCAGTGGTTTGAGCAAAAGACCCCGTGCCCCGGTATTTTCACAAATTTATGGAAAAATATGGGGTGGAGCAGCACCAGGGTGAGAGGGTACAGATGATTGGTTGTTGCTAAGGGATTTAGGGCAGTGATCTAAGATGTTGGGGGACGTAGAGAAACCCCCCGGCTTCAAAGTCTACTTAGGGAAATATTATCTAGGGAGGATGCAAGGCTCAGGTATGTGGAAGACTTTCAGGAGCCGAGCAGATCTCCGATACGTGCTGAATCCGGATGGCTTTTGTGATGCGTGCTGAGTTTGGAGGAAGTTTCTGATACCTGCTGAGACTGGAGGGCAGATAAAGGCCCTAAGGAGTGTTTAGAATTCCAAAAGTTTTGTTAGTATTGCTGACACTAAAAGGTTTCTGGTTAAAGATTTTCCTGGAGGCTACTAGGACTCTGGCCTCAGACTCACACTTTCAGCCAAGATCCATCTGACATCAGCTATGATATCCCTCATTTCACGTCCCCTTCTGAATCCAGCTTGTACTTCTGGAAGTTCTTTGTCATTATACTACTGCAACCATTTTTGAATTATGTTCAGTAAGATTTTACTTGTGTGTGATATCAATGATACTGTTCAATATTTCCATATTCTGTGGGATCACTTTTCTTTGGAACGGGTACAAATTTAGATCTCTTCCAGTCAGTTGGCCAGGTAGCTGTCTTCCAAATCTGTTGTTATAGTCAAATGAGTGCGTTCAGTACAGCATCCATTTGTTGAAACATCTCAGTTGGTATTCCATCAATTCCCAGACCCTTGTTTTCTGCCAATTCCTTCAGTGCAGCTTTGACTTCTTCCTTCAATACCATTGGTTCTTAATCATATGCCACCTCCTGAAATGGATGATCATCTACCAATTGTTTTTGGTATAGTGACTCTATGTATTCCCTTCATCTTCTTTTGATGTTTCCTGCATCATTCAATATGTTGCCCATGAAGGGCTAAGGAAAATGATAAACACAAGGAGGAACTGGGAAGAGTTCTGTTAAATTCTGGATTTTGCAACGAATGTCACAAAACAAAATGGTTGAATGGAACCATTTTACTCTGTAAACAGTTTGCTCTGTAAACTTTCACCCAAATCACAATTTAAAAAAAAAGAATGAGAGTGAAATGAAAACATTCCCAGACAAACAGAAGCTAAGCGTTCGTATCCACCAGATCAGCCCTACAAAAAAAAATAACTAATGAGAGTTCTGTAGTGGAAGGGAAAAGACACTAGAAAGTTATTCAAAGCCATATATAAAAAAATAAAAATTAAAAAAAAAAAATCCCTAATAAAGGAAAATTTATGAAAAAGTATAAGGGCTAGTAATTCATACTTTATAATTCTCAATGTTGTCCTTTATGTTTTTAAAAAGAAATATATATATATATATATA